ATCCTAACTTCCTTATCGCCATATCTGTAGTTTTAGTATGGCTTATAGCATATAACGGCACAGGTGAATCAGTTATCTACGTCCGCTATAGCAACAATAAACACAATAGTGGCTGGCTTTGTAATCGCCAGCGTCCGTCGTTTGTTTTGAAATGCCCTGAAGGTTTCTCTTTATCACGTTTACATATATTACCAATTTTTGAAGCTGATTCATCGTGGCATTCGTGGTAAATTTGGATGATGTATACATTTGATCATCCTATGCATATTCAGTAGTGGTTTGTAGAAATATGTCGAGAACAAAAAGCTTTTTATCGCAAGAAGCTGCGTTCCATCGTTATCTGCTACAGGTGTTTGAAATAATGGGGGCTCTATACATCACTGCTCCGTTTGCTGAAACAAAACTTCTTAAAAGTGCGTAAAAATTAAATAAATATCAGATTGATTAGCTTAATTAAATAAAATTTTTTTTTAATTTTACTAATTTTAATTTATTAATTTTAATTTATTAAATTATGTAATTAGAGCAATTTTAATTTAATTCAATTCAATTTTATTTTAAATAAATTATTTTATTGAATTTGATTAAGCTTATTTTTTCATTAAAGTTGATTATTTATTTAGTTTTAGTTTTTGATTTAATTTAATTTGATTTGATGTGATTTGATATGTTCATTTATTGTGATGTGATGTGATTTGATGTTATGTGATTTGATGTGATGTGATTTAATATGATGTTATGTGATATATGTATATGTATATGATGTTATGTTATGTGATTTACTGTGATGTGTTGTAGAGTCATCTGACGTGATCATTTGTTTAATATGTGCAGGTTGATATGATTTTGCTGACGTGATATGACATAATGTCAAGTCATCTTCTGGATATAATTTCCTTAGGCGTACCATGAGGTGATGATTGAGTAATATTTTGTGGTAACGTGTTGATATATTGTTGTCATATGATGTGATGTGAAGTAATATAATAAGATATGATGTTGTGTGATCTCAAATAGGGCGTGATGTGATTTTTTTTTTTTTTTTTGCTATATTTATATCATTGTACATATCATAATTATGAGGTGACGTGAAAATATATATTTTCCATTCTGATCAGATGATCTCGTTACTATTTTTATTATTAAAAACTATTAACCTCAATCACAATCAATAATAAACTTTTCCTTCCATACCTCCACAGCACCGGTTTCTACATGTCCGAGTTACTGTACATGTTTGGCGAGTTGGATGAACGCGTGCGACCGCTAACGTTCAGCATACGCCGTTGGGCGCAAGCCTGCGGCCTAACAAATCCCTCGCCGGGCCGTTGGATCACAAATTTCTCACTCACCTGCCTTGTGATATATTTTCTGCAGCAATTGAAACATCCCATCTTGCCCACCATAAACAGCATGATGAAGTCCGCCACAAGCGATGACATACGCCTAACCGAGGACGGCATCAATTGCAGTTTCAGTCGTGATTTCGAACGAATTGGCTTTCGTTGTCGCAACACATCGCAATTAAGCGAATTATTGCTGCAGTTCTTTGAATTCTACTCACAATTTGATTTCCACAATCGCGCGATATCGCTGAATGAAGGACGCGCCATAGCAAAGCCCGATCACTCAGCGCTCTATATAGTCAATCCGCTGGAGCAGGTGAGTTGCAAATTCTTCAATCTTCAATACTTCAATAAGTAAACTAACCTTGCTTATTCTTGCCTTAAAGGTGCTGAATGTGAGCAAAAATGTCAGCCTCGAAGAGTGTGAACGTCTGCGCATTGAGGTGCGTAACGCCGCTTGGGTGCTAGAATCGGAGGTGGAGAACCCCTCACAACCGGAAAGTGAAGGCGCTCAACTGGCGTGGGGCATTTTACACCTCTTCAAGTCAAATGAAAAGTCTATCATGCGACCGAATATGTTCTTTAAGCCACGCATGGTGGAGGTCAGCCAACTTTTCGACAGCGCAGACGCCGACACACCGAAACAATCAGTTGAATTCAAAAATGCCAACTCGCAACGTGAGGTGGAGACCATAAAAGCGCAGGCGCGCGGTGACTTTAAACAGATGCGCATCAATGCAGCAGCGGCGGCGGCGTCAACAACAGCGCCAGTCAAGGCGACGAAGGGACGTCGTAGTAGATGAGACTTACCGATTGATTAAGCAATGCAGAAGTTTAGCTTTAAATTATTGTCAGCCAACTGCCGTTGTTGCAAGTGCCGTTAATGTGTAAAATATTTAGTTATTTTTTGTATATAAGTATTTACTGTGTATTACGGCATAATTATTTTAGACCAAAAGCGCTGTAAAAAGTGTAGCTTATAGTTATATAATTCTTAATTTTTTTTTTTTTTTAATTTTAACAGTATGGACAAACCTACATACAAATATAGTTGTATGTCTATAAAAGTACTCATGCAGAGTTGTATTTGTGTACTTTCGTTTAAGAAACTTATAATTGTTAAGTTTATATATTCGTTAGATAGAAAATAAAAGTAAAATAAAAATCAAAAATTGAAAACGACAAACAAAATTTAATGATATTTATATCTTGAGCGGGGTTTTTGTTCCTATTTTATTTGTTTGTATGTTATTGTTATTGTTTTTGTTGTTATTTTTTGGTGTTTTTTAAATATGTTTAATTAGTTTCTTTTTGTTATATACAGTGAAACTCCTAATAACCGGACACCCACTGTGGCAGTGTCCGACTAAGGGAGTGGTCCATATATGGGGGCGTGGGAAAACGAGTGTTTAAAATGTATTCACAGAGTCAGAAGCTGCAACTCAGAACTATATTTCTACTGAAGTAATATGTCGATGCGAGCCAATGTCAGCCAGGAGTGAATGAATTAGTTTTCGTTTAGTCACAGCGAACAAGACGGGACCAGCGCTGGTTAATTTGTGAGTTATTTTGACTGTCGAGAAACTCCACAAATGAATAAGAATCTAAAGAAAACAAGAACTATAAATTGTGTACAGTTTTCTTAACAAATATTATGAAATCATGTCCGTTTATGGGAGAATTAGGGACTGGCATCATATCTTTATTGCGTTGCTGTCAAGAATATGATGCGCTCATCTCAAATTACGATTGAATTTTTTGTCAACATTGTAGCTTTGTGTGTTGTGTCTAAAACGACATCCCCATTACCAACAACAATCATTATAATCCATACACATATATATATAAACAAAATTCACTATATGATGGCAGTAACTATGTGTTGATATTTTGTTTTTTGAGGTAAAAAAAATATTGAAATGATTCTTACATGAATATTGAACATATGCTTCCGGTCTTCAGGCTCCTAACACTTGTTGGACCCCTCCTTCCGGCTGCAAGCCAGGTATCATCAGGTGACTGTACATATACCATGATCGTGTGTAGGACAATACAGTCTTCGGTAGGTCTTCAAGGGTCCGCATACCAAGTTATCCATACCAATGGGATGTTTTCCGAGCATCTTTCAACTAAAACGATCACAGTTTATGAAGTCAAATCGCTATTAGTGAAGAAGTGTATAGGGAGACTGAATCGTCTACCAGTTTGCAACCGTATACACACACGTGATCAGGGATCTGGGGCATAATCTGATAAACAGCAACGAGCTGGCCGACGAACTAGCTCGCTTTTCGGCGGCTTTCCTGCTGACGGGACGAGAACTATGCATTGTGTTGCGGTCCCACATCATAAAAGAGTTCCTCCATACGGATGAGAGAGTGAGGAGAGAACGGCACTGGCAGCAGGTATCAGTAATGCGCCACGCCAATATGATCCATTTCTCTCAAGACATTTTACGGATCACATCACATCGCTCCCAGGAAGCTCCTGGAATTGTTCAGAGTGCTGTACCTTTGCGACCTTATACAAGTATTACATATGTATATTGAAGAACACACAATAGACCATAGGCCGCAGTGCAAAACCTCAATTAACCTCTCTACCTATTTATCTATGTATATTTAGAAGTTAATGTCAACGACATACCATATTAAAAAATTAGTTTCCGGCCATTGGAACCTACTCCATCCGATTATAAAAATTAGCTTTGTATGAAAAGCGGTTTGTATATGAACTTTCTCCGGTTATGGGAGATGTCCAGCTATGAGGACTTTCCTTAATAGGAAATTTCACTGTATACATTTTTTTGATGTAATATTCCACTATTTGTGTTTTCTGATAAAATTTTTTTTCTTTGGTTTTTATTTCTGTTTTCTTTTCAGTTATGGTATAAGTGATTATTTTAATTTAGTTTTTTTGATAGAGGTGTTATATCTGTCTCTTATACACATCTAGATGTGTATAAGAGACAGGTACCGTAGCCTTGCTTATTCTTGCCTTAAAGGTGCTGAATGTGAGCAAAAATGTCAGCCTCGAAGCTGTCTCTTATACACATCTGAAAACCCCTTGCAATTATATTAGTTTTAATTTCTTTTATATAGCAGTTTTTTAACATTCATATTATAATAATTATTTTTTGCTTGTTTCTTAATAAATTTAACACAAAGCTGTCGCATACTTGGATTCAACCCACTATACTTTTTTACACGTTACAATTACTCGCTTAACTTTGCCAATTTATTTTTTACACATTTCTTATGGCATTATCTGTGTGTGTTTAGCAAATATTGTTATCAGCACAGTGCTATTGATGATTAATATTTTTGGTGTTACAAAGACAGGTGCTTTGATACACTAATGCGCGTGTGAGGTCATCGAAAGTTTTAAAATAAGCGGAATTTGTGTCTTTAAATTTGTTTTTGTGTTAAATTTTTGTATATTTGAAAATTCGTTAAGCTTGTAAATCAAAGTTTTTATTAATTTTATACAAAAATGCTTTTGTTGTCTTATATTTTTGGTTTATATTTATTTTTTNCTTCTGTCTTTTCTTTTATTGATTATTTATTTCATTTATTTTTTTTTTTAGTCTACTTTGGCAACCCATTACATTGTAGTAGTAACTGTAATTTAAAATGCTTTTTGTCGCGTTATCCAATAGTTAAAAATACCAAAAGAAGCCAAAATGCTGAGATTGAAAATATTTAATGTTTGCGCTTTATTAATTTTAAGTTGCTTAAGTTTAACAAATGTAAGCTAGTAGTAAGAAAAATACATATATTTTAGGAAAATATTTTGTACTCAACATTTTCTTCCTTTTTAAGGCTAGACCACTGCAAGAAGAAGAGCAACGCCGAGTGAGTATACCATATGAATATGTTATTATTATTATTATTTTTTAATATTTCTCCCTATCATTATTTATTTTTAATATTTTTAATACTTTTCTTTCTCCCTTGCAGATCGTACAACCCACTTGGCTCGGGGACAATAATCGCGCAGAATTTCCATCCGATGGTAGAGTACGCATTACGCCGGAGAATCTGCGCGAGACAGCTGAGTGGCGTGCAATCATACAAAAGGCAGTTAATGAGGGGCGTTACGCGGTGGACTTAAATCACGTGAGTCTATATACATATACCTTATAATACATATAGCATAAAATTTAATTTATCGAAAAATAAAATATATTTTTTCAGGATCTATCAGATTCAGAAGAGCATTTCCGACCGCAACCCTTTCCACAACCGCCGAAACAATTCGGTCCGTCGCCGTTAGCGCCCTTTAATCCTCCTTGGCTAATTAAGTTCTAAAATAGTATATTTCTATACATAAGTACTTTTATGTTCATAAATATTGTGGTTTTCTGTTTTTATTATTTTTAAATACATTTCTTTATGAATAGGATTGTTTCAATATTACGTTGTTATATTATATGTAAATCAATTTTCCTGCAATAGGAATATTTAAATATTTTTATTGATAAAAAAGATTGTGGAATAAATATTTCTAGTTAAAATTTGATTAAAAAATGCTTTATTTGTTGCCAACAACGATTCTTTGTACTTTTCCCATGTACTGCCGGCTAGCGACTTCAGGATTTTGTTGAAGCTTTTTAATTTGGCAGTTATGGCGTGAGTATAAGGAGCCTATGTTTCAGTGTTACACCTTATATTTTAGGACTGTTAGCAGTCGGAAGTTTAGCGTTATAGACTGTGATGTTAATTCTAGTCTATACTCCTCCGTCCAGTTCATGAGTATGGCCGCAGTGAATTTAGTGTAGGAGAGTCTTAAGTCCCTTGCAGAGAAGAAGCGACAAAGGTTGAAGCCATAATGTCGATATCGGCGATTCCTAAAAATGAGCAGATTTTTGATAAGAATAGGATATATGAAAAATTTCAGACCGGAACCTCAAAAACTGAGAGACTAGTTCACGTATATACAAATGAACACACGCAGATGGCGGACCTGAGCAAAAAAAGTAACAGTAAAAAATTTGGGATTTTTTGAAAATTGCAGGCCGGTCTAACTGCTTAATAAATCCGTTTTCTGTAATAAATTGGACGGTGTATGGATCCATGGGTTGAGTGAAAAAATTGACAGCACAAACAGATTTCGATTGTTTGAAAATTTTAGGTTTGCCTAACCCCTTAAAAAATCCATTTTATGAAAGAGAGTTGAGTTTTTTGCAAAATAGCTGTACGTATAGGAACTCTACTTAAAAACCTGGTGCTTCGGCCATCAATACAAACATTCTAATAGCCCTTAGCTCACTAAGAATTTAATTAAGTACAAGATGATGGTGGCAGACAAAAAGACTTGAGACAACAGAAGATAGCTTGGATGGCTGTTCTTAGGACATTTCGGACATCAAGGTTGGATTTTCTAAATTGTTAGGGGGTCGATCCCTGATCCGATCAATGACATAATTTATTTCCAATTAGTACTTGCTTCTCGACGGTCAAAACCAATTTACCAGTATACTTTTGCTCTCAATGAGCTCCTCATGAAATAGTCGAATACGTTCTCTAAAAAACTTCACAATTATGGGAAGTATATTGAAGTAATATTTTAAAACTCCGCACTACACTGTTGGTGAGCTGGGCATTCAACAGACTGTAGTAATACTTAATTACACTAATGTATAAATTTACTATCGTACAGTAATATCGGTTGATTTTTTGATTATTTTTATTGAAAGATCAATCAAGCATTGAAATCAATGAGCGGTTGGTTGCTGTATACCGTCAATTTTCTCCATCAAAAATTGGTTTAACGAATTTTAACGTGATCACACATCGTGGCTTAAATAACAACATGACCAAAGTCGAAGTCGATCTCTAATGGGCAGATCTTTGGTTAAAGGTGCGTGAGATAGCTGAAAGAATAGACGTATGAAAAAATCGCGGGGTGTCTCGGCATAAAATATTGAGCATTAGAGCGCTTTAGGCTTACTCCAAATAGCAAGCGTAACCGTAAGACCTTACTTTACTTTAAACTTATATGTGACGCTGTTTAAAACACAGTCCGAAGATGTAGTTCGTGTCTGTAGACGAGGCAGAGACCCACTGAAACACACCAGAGACCCAGAAAGTGTCAGAACAGTAGACTTTACCCAGAACTTGCTCTAAAGACTCTCCTTTAGGTATAAAACTATAGAAATTATTCGGCGCCGAATTGCTAAAAAAGTTCCTATTTGGTGGTTCAACGACAATGAAAATTTCCCTATAGGCCAGAGATACGAGGTTCACTGTTTTTTGAGGCATGATATTATATTTACAGACTATTTGAAGAAAAACTGTCACAGGACTCCACTATGCCGCATTACAACACCGATTCAATGCCGAAAAAAAATTGAAATCAAATGCGTCGCGCTAAAATAACGCCTTATGGAGAAATACATTTTTTCCAAATTTGCGTTATTTGTTCTGTTCGGTATTCTTATATTCTTATTCAAAATGATTTTTCGAGGTTATGTTGTAAATGTTTTCTAAACGATTTCTCTCTATCACATATGAATATATATTTCTTTATTAGCGTAGACACCGCTTTTGCGGTTGTAGCCTAGTTAACAACAGCGCCAGTTATTTCTTGCTCGAAATACCAAGTGCAGCCAAGTCCTTCTCCACGTGATCTCTCCCACGGAGTGGAGGTCTTTGTCTTCCCCTGCTTCCACTGGCGGGTGCTGAACAGAAAACCTTCAAAATCTGTAGTGTTCTTTTCTACTCGGACAATATGACCTAGCCAGCGCAGCTGCTGTCTCTTGATTCGATGAACTACATAATATGTCAATGTCGCCATATATCTCGTACAGCGCAGCGTTCCATCGCAGCACTATTTGCCGGCGACTATAAATTTTTCGCAAAAATTTTCTCTCAAACCGTTCTAAGAACGACTCATCAGATGCTATCATCGTCCACGCCTCTACACCATGTAGCAGCACGGGGTTGATGTGCGACTTGTCAAGTTTGGTCTTTGTTCGTCGAGAGGCGACTTTCCTTCTCAATTGCCTACTCAGTCCGAAGTAGCAACTGTTATTAAAAGTGATTCTGCGTTGAATTTCAAAGCTGATATTGTTAAATACTATACATGTGACACAAGATAATGAATACCACCATTCCTTTGCGGCGAATTCCAATTAGGCGAAGTGTCGCACTTTTCGAAAAGAGTAACATGATAACGGCAGTAACGTTAAAATATCATAACAACGCTCTTAGCCCAACAAAGTTATTTGGTATTGATAAGATTATAACCAATTTCATAAAGTACGAAGCGGCTGTGATAAGATATGCATAAAATGATTTCGCTGCCTCGAAAGCGTTTTCAGTAAGTGTTTAGATTCGATTGTGTTGGCTACTTAATAATTGTAAGTTAAAATAGAGTTAAGCGGTTCAATTAAAAAATAAATAAATGCTATATGTTTTTCTGCGAAATATTCATACATATATATTTAATTAGCTTTTCAAAGCTTTGATATTAAAGTAGACGTGCATTAACGGACTATACTTGTATATTACATATGTGAATATAAAATGATAAGCCCCAATTTATCTATTGATTTTACTGTTTTATGAGAGATAACAAACAGTTGAGTCACAAACTTCCAATAAGTGCATTAAAAGTGTAGTGAAATTTACTAAAATTAACGAGTAAATATATATATACAATATATAATATACAGTCAGCTAAATTCAAATTAATTTTAATCGAAACTGTAATTTTAATCGCGAGCATAAAGTTATTTTTTTTAAGTTTTTTTTTTTTTCAAAGAACCAATGATATTTAATTTTTATACTGCAAAATGACAAGCGTAATGCTGTTATCGTTATTTACGAGTGAAAATCACTAATATTGTATAATAAATAATATCTTGACGCACCGAATGTGACATACGGATAAGGCACTATTAATAGTTTAATTGTTTAAAAAATACAGTTAATACCAAGGAAGGAACTGTCATACTTACATAGTATTTATAAACAAAGTCTCACCATGAATTCAATAATTGCGTCAAGAACTGATTTGCTGTCAAACGCACTCCACTATAAGCTCACGCCACGAAACTGTCATATCATTTATTTCCTTCTTACTTGGCTAACTTGGTTAGGACGCATTAAAGATAACGGAAAATATAATATAGTTGTGGTTATCGTTATTTCGCTAACTCGAAAATTGCTAACGGAATTGTTGATTCCACAATTGATTATTAAAAGCACAAACAAATACATAGCTCATAATTCAAGCGTAGCCAACATCAAATGTTCAACCATATTCCACTGTGTTGGGTTAAAGCGCTTCTGACGAGTTTTTTATAACTTCTATATACATATGTTAGATCCTACAAATATTAGAGAACCAAAGTCCTTCGTAATAATAATGAGCCTCTCTAAACTTTACACTACATCAATATATATATAGGGTGATCCAAGTGGAGGTACTTTACAATAGCCTTTTCTTTTTTTTTTGACAGATCATAGTGTCAAGCTGTCACGCTATTCTCGTTCAGTATTGTTTGGCATTGCATCATGAAAAGATGCAGACTTACGCCTGAATAACGTTTATAAATCGTTTAATTTTATTATGAAAATTCACGTTCTGTATAAAATGTGTTTCGTGCGCTTCGCTCAGCTTATGGTCAACATAATCCGCCTACTGAGCGTACTATTCGCAACACCATCACCCAACTTGAGACCCATCATTCATTATTGTTTAATATTTGACTGAATAGACCACGTCCACCACGCAGTAAAGGAAATATTGCAGCCGCAGCTCAAATTGTACACGAAGACGGTGGAGGGTCGCATCAACTTGGACTGACGTATAGAACGACATGGCACATTTACGTGAAGATCTTAAATTGAAAGCGTACAAAATACAGCTTGTGCAAGAACTAAAGCCGCTCGACCTTCCCAAGCGACATCGCTTCGCTCTATAGGCTCATGACAAGATTCAAGAAGATTCGATGTTTTCGAGTTAAATTTTCTTCAGCGATGAGGCTCATTTCTGGCTCAATGGGTATGTAAATAGGCAAAATTTTCGCAGTTTTGACGAAAAGACAGAGTGCTTCAAGAACTGTCATTTTATCCAAACAAAACTACGGTTTATGCCGGTGAAAACGTAATACAGAAGATTTTACGTTTTGAGCCGGTCAAGTGGCCAACAAGATCATGTTGTACCACATCATTAGACATTTCTTTTACATAGAGAGTCTATAGTCTGCGGATAATGCCGCTTCGATTCAGGCCAGGTCATTCGCCAGTCGAGAGAAGTAGCCGCGGAAAACATTTGAAAAAGATAATTTTCAAAAAAATAAATGCCAAAGAATGTTCTTTCTGTGTTTTTTCTTTAATAAAGTGGGGAACCTCATAATGGATCACTCTTTATAAAGGGACTTAGCGCAAATTACTATGTATATTTC